TGTTAGAGGAGAACAACTGTCTACTCACACTTGGTCCTTTCTGGTAGCAGCCCCCATTGCAAAGCCCCCTAGGAGCCTCCAGATGCCAGTTATCTAGTTAGCATGCCTGAGACACTCTTTCCATCCAGGAGGTTACTGGGGTTTGAGAAGCTGTGTCTGGAATGCAAGGCAAAGCATAAATACTTACTAGGTGTCACACCTTTCTCTCATTTATGTCATGATTTGTTCCTGAATATCCCAACAACCACATTCCAAATGCTATCTTGGGCACTTTTGTTATTTTATACACGATAGCCTCTACTATTGCAGCAGAAAAGGAGGCCTGTAAGGTAAAGACATTGGGGAGGTCTCTTTGATATTGTGACATGCAGTTGGATTCTGAGTGACAAAATGCAGGCAGCCATGTACAAATTTTGTCAAAGACAATGGCTTGAGTGAAAAGAGCTGTGTTCGTTTTCTCACCTTCTACTTTTAATGCCTCCAATTCCAGACTGAAATTTGATTTTCAGCACATATTGGTTGAACCACCTCATCTTTAAGACCTTACCATGTCTGGGAATCATGGACTGCAGCGCCTAGAGCTGTTGGCATTCTTCTTACTTACAGATGTCAGCAAACCAACAGTGTGGAAAATGAAAATCACTTACCTTCAAACATCTCCCTTGCTGGTGCGACCCCAACCTGGCCTGAGGCGCCATCACTGAGCAGCTCTAGGAGAAGGTCTGCACAACTCACTCTGCCTACCCTGTGAAGGAGCTGTGAGAAGACAGAAAATCTGAAGTGTTATCATGTCAGAGTAAGGTGCCTGGCACAGCCGAAGAATCTGCACAAAGCACAACCAAAAAGCATGTAAAATCACACTGGGATAGATCCAAAGTTCTGACATCAATTCTCTAAATAGTGCCAGAATCATCTGAGCAGGGCTCATCATTATAAGGGAGAAATAAGCCTTCTCCCTGCTGGCCTTTCATTCTTGTGCTCAGCCAAAAGCAATAGAAACCACCACAAACTACATGTGGAGCACCATTCACTTTCCATTAGTGCAATGTGCTGTTCTTTTGCTCTTGTGTATTTTTGGCTTCTGATAGAAAACTCATGGGTCTTTGTTTGCCTGTAACTGTGTTTGCTGAGTGTATGAATCAGCATGATATTATGTTTGGGGTTTTGGTGATTCTAATCATTTCCATTAAATTAAGTTTCTTTCCTTCTGCAAAACTTATCTCAACACTTCACTTGTCCCCAAAGCATTGGCCTGCATAATTGTGATGCCCATTCATGCAGCCCAAAATAATTTGTTTGGAGCATTGACTTATAGATTTTTGAAATTTCCATATTTTTTCAGTATAAAGATTGTATTCACTGAAATTTTCTTCTGTGTTTCTAATGTACCTCACCAGATTAAGGAAGGAGTTCCAGAGTTTGAAGCATCAATCAGTCCAGTCAAAAAGCACGGAAGTGTTGAAGTCATTCAACAAATATTGAACGAGACAACACTGAGTAAAATAGATTTTCTTTCTTTCTTTCTTTTCTTTTTTTTTTTTTTTTCTCACAAAGGGTCTGTTTCACAATTGACTGTACAATATTGAGCATTTATTGTTACAAGTCTCACCAGTGGAAAAGTGTGGGGTCCATTCAGAGGTTGTGAAAGGACAGTGACATCAAATCTCTAGGGAGAAAAGTGATCTCGTGAATCAGAGTGAGAGAAAAATCATGTGAAGCAAAAGCAGCAGCAAAATCAAGGACTTAGGAAGGAAGTTACAGCACATGTTCCAGAGGCGTGAAGTCAGAGTATATGCAGCCAGGGATGTGGGTGACTTGCGATGGATTCTGACTTCACTTTTAACACAAGCATTTGTGAAGTATGTCAAAGGAAAAGGAGCTTAAAGAAAGGAGAGAGGACGGGGTCATCTGATCAGATTTGCTCCTCAATGTGAGCATGTTGTCTTGTTCAAAGTAAGGTCAGGATGGAGGTGTTGAGATAAGATGCTCTATGGAAACTGGCAGAGTGTTTGGGGGGCTCAGAGAGGTTTCCTTTTTTTCCTACAGCTTTGTGGGTGGTGCTTGCATTTGTCCTAAGCTAAAAGTCTCAGACTGATGTTGGAATCTCAGAATTCACATTTAGATTTGAACTTTTCAGGGTGTGTGTGACAACCCCAGGAAAACACAGCCTGCAGTTTTAGAACGTAGGTGGAGTGTGCAATCACATTGATTACTTGACAATACATTGATTGGTCATTTAATTGTTTTTCACTCATCTGAAAACTCAGGAGGCCCTGAGCTAGCTGCTTTCTCCTACATTCTCTCTCTCTCTCTCTCTCTCTCTCTCTCTCTCTCTCTCTCTCCCTCTCCCTCTCCCTCTCCCTCTCCCTCTCTCCCTCTCTCC